GCTGAATTCGATCAGAAACCTCTATGAATCCCCATAGATACTAGTAGGCTGATAAAAAAGGGGCAATTGTTGTTTGATGATTTGAATATAAAAGTATGATATGTGTTATGTTACAGATTATATATGAATTCATGATATTTATAATGTTATATTTTCCGTAGGTTGTTTTTATGAATCTCACTGCGGTAAGTGGACGGTAAATAGTTTGATTATTGATAAATGAATTTGTTTAAAATTTGTGCTCTATTGGTTGTTTTTAGTTTTCTACCAACTTTTACTTCTGTGACGATGATATAGTGTGATGTTCTTACTGGGCTAGTGTAGCTCATTCCTTATTTAACAATTTCAGATCAGAAGGACCTAGTTCTCGAGCCCGATCCACAAGAAGACGACAAGTAGATACTAGATACTTTATAGTTTACTTTATTTTTCTCATTTCTCATATTTCCTTTAGAGAACTTATTCCGTGATATTGTTTAATACTTTTAAGTTATTGTGTAAGGGATGTTAACCTTAATCTTTTATTTCGCTTCCGCACTCAGATTATTATATGTATTTTTTTAAAAAATTTCGGGGTCGTTACATCCAGGGAGACCGGTTCTAGATGGAGTGGATGGTGTCTGATGTGGTAGAAACAGTAATGGAGCTCTACCTTTAGGAGGATATAGAAGCGATCCTGAATCACTAGATAGGCATTTCGCTAGAAGGAATTCCCATTTTCTTATTAGGGTATTTCACATTTTAGTAATATTGATTTTTATTGAAATTGGTGGCAAAATGCAATTTGAATTTTTCTCTATTGAGCATAACTTAAATTGTTTCGGTGGATGAACAATTAGAAAAATTACTATGCTTGGTTCAATATATGTAACAAGATGATCAAGTTCCATGCTAGATATAATCGAACTGATTAGGCTCGTGAATTTTATTTTCGAGATGTAAAAATGGAGGTACGATTATTGTTATTGTTGTCGTCATTCATTTAGAAAATTTTCTGTTTGTATAGGACAACTTTTGTATCATTCTAGGTTACTAAAGAAGTTATTTGCTATATGCGAGCCTTATGTTCAAACTTAGAGTTCTCTTATCAATACACAAGGTCGAGCGGGTCAATGGTGCTGGGCTATGAATATCATTGAAGACATGCTATGCTATTTTTATTTCTCTTCACTACCGATCCTAGTGGGGCTTATTTGATGGGAGTTTCCTTGTCTTTCTTTTCACGTTAAAAGTGGAACCCGAGTAAGGAGGAAATGTTTGAAATTCTTTTTGGGTTAGAATTTTTCATTTATCATAAACTACAAATTTTAGTACCCATTAAGAATGTGGTTGTGATTATTTGAAAGATTTATAGAAAAAATTAAAATATCACCGAAACATAAATATTCTTTTTCAATGTTTTGTAATAGATGCTCAAGGAACCTAACTTATCCAATTGCCTTTTTCTCTTTAGTTATTCTTTTTTAGTTGTCCAGTATTGACTAATCTAAATCAAACAACTGATTTTTGATTGAGTCACATTTTCATACTATTTAGAAATCCAAGTAGTCACACCCATCTCGTTTACTCTTTAATATAGTTGCAAAATTTAGTTTTTTGATTTTGAACTACTGTAATCCCCAATTATGTAATAACTATATCTTTTAATAATAAGAAAAAAAGTAGAACAATACCCGTATGTAACCTAGAAACTTAGGGCTCATTTAATACATGGAAGTATTTTCGGATTTTCATTTTCTAAATTTATATATATTTCATTCACAAACCATATTAAATACTTAATGAGAGATAATAGTAAAAATGACGATAGAGAGAAAAACTTAAGATGTTAATTTTAATATTTTCGAGGAAGCTACTCTGCTTTGCTTTGATTATCACAAAGATATCATTCTCTCACACTTTCATGAGGTTTAAGAGATAGTTTTTACTTATTTAGTGCATCTTTATTATTA